CGTATACTGGGTCGCAACGCGAGGAAGCGTATCGAACAAACTTCCAGTGGAGGAATTCTTCTTGCTTCTTATACGTTTCGGGAGACGAGACGAGGAAATACAGGGCTGTACAAAAACCTAAATCTTACGGATTATTCAAGATGTAGGACACTTGATTTGTCTGCACTTTTTCGGGGTCCACCATCAAAAGGTACTGGTATAAGACTTGCAAACTTCAGAAACTTTATTGAAGCCAGTTGTTTGAGGTTTCTTCAGAGAACTTGAAGAACGTTTTAGATTAACCCAAGGTATATATTTTGAAATTTCGTTTCAACAACAGGATACATTTTTCATCCAAGAAGCGAGAATCGGAACGATGCTTTTGTGTATTGAATTTTCAAAACAAAAAGAACACCCTCAAATTTTGTAACGAATCCGAATTTATTGCAAAAATTTGAAGAATCAAAGAAATTTGCAGGCCTTCATAGTTTTTCAAGGAAAGTGTCACACTAGAGTTGTTATTTTCCAGTATGTTTTACACTTGGATGACTTTGTAGTTGAATTTTTTTTCTATCGAAGGTTCCAAAATACTCTCGAATAGTTTCAATTCTTCTGCATAATTCGAAGAATTTCTTGGAACCCGCATCCCGGGAATCTGAACTCTTCGAGGTACAGAATCATCATGGGTCCAGTACTATTTTCACTGAGAATTCCGTACTCATAGTCAATTTAATTTTTTTATTAACAGACAATTGAATCTTCGTCGAGTTTCAGCTCTGTCCTTACCAGCATTTCATTTCAAATTACATGATATGTATATCTGATTTTTCAAATCAAAGAATACGCGGATTTCCAATTTTATATCATGTATTTCCTCAGAAAAAAATGCGCATGAGGTGTTTTAAAGAATTTGTGATTGGAGATGTCCACTGTTAAATCGAAATTTGGAATCATTGATCCGATGACCTGATAACTTACATCCACAGTATACAGTATAGAAAACATACGGACAGAAAAATATCTAGAAAACGTTTTATTTTGAAAGCCATATCATACTCGTACATATATTAGCGTCAAATCGGCATTCACATGCAGGCATATTGCGTGAAATCATTACGAAAATTATTTTCTGCAGAAGGGCTGAAGAATTTGATAAACTTTTCTGAATGGAAAGAAATCGAATTAAATGAGGATGCGTCTCAGATTTGCAGGTAACTTTTTTGTTACATTCTTGGCACAAAAATAGAGCTGCGCCGTAAAATCTACACAGTCTTGTATTCAACTGAATATGGTAAAGCAAAAATTTCAAATTATGTACAGTATATGTTATGAAAATATTCGATGACTCACCCAATGCGGAAGTGATTCCGTTTTCAGGGCGACGAATGAGACAGTACCCGCCGGTTTGGGTTCTCACTCGAACTGCCGGGGCCATGTCCCATTTTTTCCGTCGTTTGTGATTCTCATTCACCGACGAATTTGAAGAAGCGTGTATCAAGTTGCTGACTACAACGTCATTATCGTCATCGACATCAGTGTCATCATCATCATCATCATCGTTGCTGCACTTAATTTCCCGAGCCTTCGAACCCAAAGACGCGAGTTTCAAGTTGTGGCCATTGAGTTCCGGTTTTGAAACAGGAGATTTCCGTCGGGTTTGGTCGATGTTAATGATTGGGCACAGGGAACCGAAAGTGTCGGGAATTTTGCTGGCCAAATGTGAGAATTGTTTGCTATCACGATAATTCGGATCACGGCACATGATTTTTGGCAGGAAAAATCTCTCAGAAGTCGAGGAAATTTGCACTGTAGCCGGCGGCGAAGTTTCCGCGGGTAAATGCGATACCTTTTTGCACAACGTCACTTCCATTATTCGAATTTTATCAAATCTAAAACACGTGGAAGGCAATTCAAGAAATATTTTTCAAATTTTAATAAAAAATAGCGACAATGTAACTTCCTTGAAGGTTTGCCAACTGATGTGCCCAGCAGAAAGTTTAAAAATGATTAACGACTAAATTATCAAGAAACAAATTCAACCGAAATGGCATCGAATTTTTTGCATACTTACTTATTGTTTTCAAATTTTTATTTTAAACGGAAATCTATTTGCCCCAATCTCCTTCAAAAAATGTTTACGTTTAGGACTTTTTCAGACGCAATTTTCGATAGAAAGCTTGTTTGTTTTGCTTGTTTAAAAAAAAGCAAAAATTCACTGCAGAGGAAATATACCTTATTAGCACTTAAAATCTAAAAAAGAACTTTAAAACCGACGCGTCTATATTATAACTCTTTCATTTAAATTTCTCATAAACTGGTCGTTTTTTTTTTGACTGATCGAATAATCTGCTGCTGCACTGGAATCAAGACATAAATTTCACTATCTTCGAAATAAAATACCATTCAAAATTGTGTGGCTTTTCTAGTTCTTTCAATAAATATAAAAATAATATTCATGCTCCTACTACGAGTATGTCCTAGCTCACGTCTTATTCACTATACATGAGCTATAATACTATCACAAGATCTGCGTCATTTTCAAGGAAATGTGTAAAAAAGAAAACAGGTATTGGAACGTTCACTGCTAATGAAACAATCTGTATAATTGTTTAATTTGGATCGAAATTCGAAACAGATCCACAATTCATCCTCAAAAAGTAAATATTTCAGATCAGATTGATAAAATGTTGATACAGGCACGGAATCTCTCACTCTCTATGCAACGATATTTCTACGCAGTCATTCTCTGTATAATCATTTTTTCATGTCCCAGAGTTCACATTCCATGTTTTAAAGGTCTCTACAACAAAAGTGTAACTACAACAAATTTTCTTGCTGGTACCTGGAATTTCGTTCTTGAGACAGATTATTTTTTCAAAGTTGAAACGCAACATTCATCTGCTCATATTTAAACTCAAACAAGGTTCATGTGGAAATGTTGCAGTAATAAATCGTTGCAAATCCCAGCTTACAATTACTAGAATAATGCAATGAGGATAGGGTCTAATTACAGGGAGACTGTCTCTACAACAGAATTCAGGGGACCAGAAAAATTTGTAATAGAGAGAATTTTTTTAAATGAAGAACCCCTATAAAATTGGGAGAAACCCCTAATGGAACACAAACAAATTGTTATACAGAGGATATCATTGTAGGTAAGATTGTTGTTGAGAAATATAGAGAGATTCCAGCTGTAAGCAATTTTTCAAGCCCCACAGATTCATTAAGTACAGTACATGCACATGTATATGGAATGCAAATTGTTGGGGATTTTTCCAAACGAAGAGATTTTATGAGTACAACACCACAATAAGCGTGGGACTGGTTGGGAGTCTCTTTATAGAGGCTTCAAGAAATTAATAATTATTAGTGTCCCAAAAGAATTGACAACTCAGCATCTTCTTCAAGAGAAATACGCACATATGCAATAATTCACACAATTTATCAGAGAATTGCTTCAAGCAGTGGAAGCTATACAAATTTATATGAGATTCTGAGTGAGAATGTGGTGTTGATTTCAAGTATTTCAGGCTTTTATGCATTATTGAGGAAGGGTTATGTTAAACTTGTTCTTGGTGAAGGTTGGGATTCTTTACTGTTTCCTTATAGGAGCAAGAAAGGTAAAAATCTAAGACAATGTGCAGCATTGTCATACCCATTTTGAAGGCTCTTAGGGGCAAGTTCTTTAGTGCTGGGCTCTCTATAAGCCCCAGAATGGGTTTCAGGGATCCAGAGCATGTTGAGGAATTAATCAACCCAACATAAAGAATTGAACCATAGCACAGTGGAAGAAAAAGTGGGAAATAATAAGGCAGGGCAATCAGCCGGTCTGCGGCCAGGAATATGTAATTAAGTGGGAACCTTAATTACATATCCCTAGTTTGGTCTGCTTTAATCACAGTCCACAATAAATCACAAGCAAACACAATACAAAAATAATACATCACAATAAATGCAGTAAAGCAACACACATTCAATAAAAACAAGAAATTTGTGCACACAAATTTAGGGTGCAATAATGCAATGCAAGAATTCAAGCAGAATAATTGGGGTTGGAATGTTTGTTGGGAGTTTACTGTAAGAGCTAATTTTAAGGACTGATCATTGGGAGTGGAAGAGTGCTAGATTTTTATAAGATTTAGCCCAATGCTTCCATCAGCTGACCTGACCAAAGCACTGGACTTTTCCCCTTGCTTGTGATTGGCTGGATAGATGTGCACCTAAGAAGTTGTACATTGGAGGAACGGATGCCTGAAGGAAAATGGGGCCAGAATTCAGGTCCTGGGACCTGACATCCCTTGGCCTGAGTTCTGGTTCCCCAACAGAGCAGATTATTATATTTCATTTCTCCATGGTGCCACAGTCCCACCAACTGAAAAATCATTTTTCATTATATATATGTACATCAGTATAAAAAATCTAATATTTAGCACAGCTTGCAAGGGCACTATTTGCAGTACTTCCACGTAATTCACTGTGTCGAAAAAAACAAAGTCAAGGTATATTTTTAACTTTCATAGAATTTCACAGGGTTCTCCCCAGCTGCTGCCCAGGCACGTGCCAGCTAGTGAGTGACTGCTACCCATCAGCAGCAAGCAAGGACCTTTCTCAGCCCCACAACTGGGGAACTTTCCATTATTCCCCTGTTCGTGGGGGGAAAAAAGGAAAAATATCGTCATCTTCGTAGGTTCAATCCTGGACATGGAACATAACGGATATAAAAAATAAATAGTTACGTCCTGCACGTTCGTGATAGGAAACTCGCAATAAGAAGTTATATTTACTTTAATAATTTGCTCCATCAGAAAAAAAAAACCGAGAGAAATCACGCGAACTCTGTCGGAACATTCGAAGTATCTCTTTAATATACACGTTTATCGAGATTCTCCATCGCATGACATGAGCTCTGTGAAGGTGGTCAGTTTTACACGGGAATTATACGCAGTTTTTCGTGTGTGTGTGTGAAGAACTGCGCTGTTGAATAAAGGCCTGACGAGGTGCCTCTTTATTAAATTAATCCACGAATCTTGCGATCTTTTCCAATTTGGCGGAACTTGATCCCTTTCTCCGAAAATTCTCAACATTTTTATTTCGAGAGAAATGTGGAGCTCGCAGGAAGTTACAGATCAACCTGAGGCGTGTCAAGAAGCTGGGGCTTTCGGGGACGAACCTTCTGCACCTCCCTTAGTGGTGAAGATATACCATATATTTTTCCAAACTCAGTCTGTTGAAATACAGTTGAACCATGATAAGTCAAACCTCATTAAGTCAAATATTGGATCTCCTTGATTCAAATTTTTGTTAAATCCTCATCTGCATTCCCTTAAACACAAGGCATTATAAAAACCTCTGTAACTCAAAGGCTTTCCTTCTAAAACCTTCATGAGTCAAATTTTCTGATGCATTTTGATATTATTTTCTTGAAACAGAAGGAACAACTCTTAAAAAGATTCGATGCATTTTGAAAGGATGTTGAAAATGCAATTAGACCAATGAACCCCCGCCTAAAAGTTCAGCATCCTTTAAACTCATTTTAGACGCAATTTAAGGTCCAGAATATCATCATTTACAATTTACTGCAATTATTCTTTGTTTCCCATAGCAAAAATGCTTCCTTCCACAGCACAAACATCTATAATACAAGACCTCCCAAAGTCAATTTTTTTGCTGGTCTCTTGAAAGTTGACTTAGACAGGCTCAATTGTAATTGAGATGGGCTGAAATATATGGTAATATGCCATAATTTTATTCTCTGAAATGTTTCCTGCGCCTTTTGCAGTGCATACAACTTGATAAGAGGAAAATTTTTAGTTCGCACTCCTGTTTCAGTTTGAGCTGTTACTGGGAAGATAAAAACGCAAACAATTCAACCTTGATGCTATTTTCCACCATTAAGATGTGTTATTGAGTCTGATTTCTTGTAAAATCTTTTCCACAACAAACTGTATGCAAATTTAACCCTTGGGCAGTGGCGGGTTCTTATGCATTGTGTGGCAGTGCCAGAATATTTTTGCAGGCTCCTGAATTTTGGTTTGACCTAAGGCCGTCAATATGCAGCTAGCTTTGGCTGGGTAGCCAAATCTGGAAAAAGAAACAAGTCATTTTTCTTCTAATCTCCCAATGCTGATCCAATGACAGGAATTCTGAAAAAATTCCACCAACAGTAATTTTTTTCTTAAAAGTGTTTCTGCTAGAATGCTATAAAATTTGGGATTTTCCCCAACTTCTAATCATCCCCCCCCCCATTTTTTACTCCTTGAGTCACAAACTTATGCAGATAAATTCCAGCACTGGTGCCCAGCAAGGGTTAAAATATAGAGGGTTTGTAACCCAATGCAGAAGCCAGATTGAACCAAATTATGTCCATTACAAGGCATGTTCAAGTTTCACGCTGTTCATGGTGAAAATTGAAAAAAATAAATCAAAATTGTATATCCTAAGAATCCAGGAATTGATAACCAACTATTCTTGGTGATTTGGGGGCAGCAGTTTATCACACATCACTTAACCCTTGGATGGCAAAGGGTTCTTTCCCATAGTTGGACAGAGTTGGATTATTTTTGTATCCTCCCGCATTTTCATATTTCTGAAGGTCAGGAAAACCCTTCCAGGTGGGCTGAGGCAAAGTTGGGATAAATAAAAAAAAAAGCCAGTAGCCTAACTGTGCATTTTTTTTATTTCCCCACAAAAATTGTCTGTGCCCAGAGAAAAAATGAGGATTTTTGCCCTTAACCCCCTTTTGAATTTTTTTCTTCACCTCTCTTCTTCACCTCTCTGAGGTGCAACAAAATTTTACAAAAAAAGTCCAACTATGCCGCCCAAGGGTTAAAAATACGTTTATAATGAACAGGATTCCCCAACAGCAGAAAATGTGTATGGCTTTCAAAGATAATTTCAAAACAATAATCTTATTGTATTTCAAACTCAAAATGCATTTGATTTAAAGCTGGAAGAACACCAAGAAACAGAAGAGCATGTGTCTGAGTCTGGAGACAAGTTGAAAATCGACAATGAACCGCAGCAGCCCAAGGCTGCTCCTCGACACTGTCGTCAGGATCGTGGCATTCGAGCCACTGTCGGTATCGACATCGACACCAAGTTGCCGGTTTTCCGGGGAGCTGAGAAGCTGCCTTTGTCCTGTTCATCATCATCATTGTCGTCACTGTCGAACCCCCAAGATGAACCCAAGCCTCGACAGAAGAAGTCGTCTACAGCGGGCATGGCAACCCGCGGAATGCAAGTCAAGGACTACTTTGCCAATTTTGATTCGACAGACGCAGTGTCTATGATGAATCCATATTTGACTGCCTGTGCGCATTTGCTTGACGTGGAGTATTTGTTGTCCAGTCTGCTTGAGATGAAGAGTGAGTTCAATTGATGATCCTTTTTTTGAATCTGAATATGGATGGTCAAGTTTTACAAAAAAATGAACAGATTTCTAACTCAGAATAGCCCAGTAGCAAACCAACTTTCATGAATGTGGCTACAGCAGTTAGCCTCATTCATTGAGAATTGGTCTGAATCAAATGATGCCGCATTGCATTAATTGAGTCCTATAAAAGAGGAAACTTGGAAAAACAAGAATGGACCTGGGTACTCAAATACTTCAAATCATGCATTTCCACTTTCTGTCCCCCACAAGCAATAACTTCATGGCTCATGGCTTAGTGATCACTTCACTTACAGTGTTCTGACCATGCACTAAGCCAGAGGCCTTTTTGTTGGGGAACCAGAACTTGGGCTCAGGGATGTTACGTCCGAGGACCTGATTTCTGGTCTGGTTTTCCTTTGTGCATCCATTTCCTGTATGCACAACTTCTTTGATTCACATTTCTCCCACCAATCACAGATGGGGGAGAAAGTTGAGTGCGTTGGTCAGGTAACCTGACCAAGGCATACAGCAAACTTATGTGAAAACTCAGCACTCTTCCACTCCCAATAATCGGTCCTTTAAATAAGCTCTTATACTGTGAACTTCCCGCAAACTATTCAATCCCAATTCTTTTGATTGAATGAGTGGAATGCATTATTGTCCCCTGAATTTGTAAGCACAAATTTTTTGTATTCCTTGAATGTACATTGCATTATTGCATTTATTGTGATGTATTATTTTTGTATTGTTTCTCATTGTGATTTATTGTGTACTGTGATTAACCCAATTAAAACTTGGGACATGTGATTAAGGTACCCTATTATTAACATATTCCTGGCCGCAAACTAGCTGATTGCCTGCCTTATTATTTCTTATCATTTCTTCCATTACTGCGCTATGGTTCAATTCTTTATGTTGTGTTGATTAATTCCTTAACCCTTGGACGGCGGCAGCCTCCTTTCCATCCCAGGGCTAAGTCAGACTTTTTCCTGATGGGTGTGCATTATATTTTTGCACAAGGTTATGCAACCCCTGCCAGGTGGGGGAGGGCGAAGTCGGATTTTTTCCGGGGATAATGAAATGCTGGGAAAGTCCTGAGTTGGACTTTTTCTGTATTGACCTCCAGCCTGGGATTATATTTTTGCACAAGGTTATGCAACCCCTGCCAGGTGGGGGAGGGCGAAGTCGGATTTTTTCCGGGGATAATGAAATGCTGGGAAAGTCCTGAGTCGGACTTTTTCCGTATTGACCTCCAGCCTGGGCTCCTGGCTTTCAAGCTTAAATTTAATCTTTGAATGGGGAAACAACACAAGGCCAGGGAAAAAAAGGGAGCCTTGAAGCTTTCATTTTTTCATTTTTAGATGAAATTTTTCTGTGGAAAATTTAAAAAATGCCAGGATTTTTCCCGACTTTGCCCTGCACACACTGTTGGGGTTTTTTGAAATTTCACTCTGGAGTGCCACCAAAATCTGCGAAAAAAGTCCGACTTAGCCGCAGAAGGGTTAAACATTGGATTGCAGTTGGTGCCTTCCTATCTTTGTGGAGGAGTCAGGTTTCTATCTATTTTTTGCATGCAGGTGTGTTTTGGTTTGACAAAAGGCCACTAAAAATGCAGCCAGGGCTGTTCAGTCAAAGATGTGGATCAAATAATAGTAAAACTCATGGTTTTTAATATCCTTAAAGACCTTGTGCTTTAAATTGGGTTCATTAACTGCTGCCATTATTGCTTCAATTTTGGCTTATGCTGCAATTCTTGTTACTGATATTTTGTTTTCAATTTCAGGGAAAGAAGGGGTGTATGCACACATATCTGTTGTGCACTTGTATTTTGCAGAATGTATTTTCTTTTATTTTTGTTATATGTATGCATCTAATTTCTCTGTTTCCCAATCTGAAGTGATTGAATGTCTTTGAATGGATTTGGGTTGGGTGGGGAGGGGGTTTGGATGTGGGAATGTTGATTGAACCTTGTGAAGCTGAAAAGCGGAAAGTAAGGCTTTCTGTTCATTCATTCATAATATCGTTTGACATTAATCCTATGCAATACGATAGCAGAACAAGTTCCCCACTTCAAAAATCTTTCATTTTTAAAGCCCACACTGTCTGGAGGAAGAGAAAAGATTACCAATCATTTCTAAACTTGAGTTGTGCTGCTCAGTCCAAAATAAGATAAAAATGTATTTCTGTATTTTTAACCAAATTATCCGAACTTGGCCACAGAAGGAATAAAAAATCAAAATAATTTTGGGTGAAATTGTCATCACAAATTTCCACAAAGGCCGTTGAGCAGCTCTGCTTGATCCCTGTGATTTGAGTCTGAGATGATAGTCAAGGTCTCTGGAAAAGGAGAGTGAACTACTTTTTATTTTCCGGGGACCAGATGCTTCGTCGCTTAATAATAGCCTCTGTATCGTCATCGTTACGGACGTTATCCATTCATAAGGCTTTCTTTTGTTTCGAAATCATTCTGGAAATGAACAAGAACACCGCGTGCGAAATGGTTGCCATTAATGCACGGAGCCTGGTGTTGAACTATTTTATGAAGTTTTAAAGGATAACTTGCAGAGTTGCAGTCTGGTCATTCTTGGGATTATTCCCAGTTCAGTGTACGCATTGGGGCACTCGAAGCGAGTTCCGCAAAAAATAACGTGGAATGAATGGAATTTCAAAAACCACGACTCCCGAAATGCGACCAAAATTTTCAATACGGGACCCCAGAGATGCAGATGTAATTTGTGCTTAGACCATGTCATTGTGTCAGAACATCTTCATGCTGGACCTAGTTTTCCCATAGATTTTATTGGGAGTATTTTCAAGTGGTTCTCTTATGCATCAAAAATTAAGAAAAAGTCCCCACAAAAATAGAATTAAAAATTTTTTCAACTTAACACTAGGTAAAATGAATGTACAGAAAGAGAAAAGCAGAATCTGATCTTTTGGTATCCGCATGAGCTCAAGAAGCAAAAAAACAAGAACAGGGTTGGCTATACCAAGCAAACATGACCATAACAAGCACTGAAAAAGCACATCAGCCTACTTTTTAGGATGATTAAGGGTAACTTTTGAATGAACTTTATTTTGAGCATTGTATTTGTGAATGTAAATTGCTCAATTTCTTCCAGATACAGTCAAGCCCATTAAGATGCCCCCTGATAAAGCGCCACCCTTGCCAACTGCCAAAAATTTGAATGAAACAAATCTCATCAATGTTAAATTCTATAGAAAACTTTGATAAGACACCAACTGCCATTTGCGAGCATTAGTGATGAAACAAAACTACTGTTTCCAATTAGTTTTGTCTTTGTTACAATGCCAACATTAGGGTAGAATTATAATTTCTGCCAAGGATCATGTATTTGTACAAAAAAAAATAATGATGATCATTTTGTTGAAAATTAGATTGACCTAATCTTAAAATTTAAATAAATTGATGCAGCAAAATTTATTTTCTGAAAGAGTAATCCATTGATCACAGCAATACTCTTCAGAAAATTACTCAAGTTTCTTACATAGCCTGTATCTCTATGACTTTTGGAGGAAATTTGAGTATTTTTGATCAAATAATTGAAATTAAATATTCAATAAACCACCAAATTTTCTCTGGACAAATGGTGGCATCTTATTGGGATTTGACTGTACATGAAAACTCAGGAAAATTAAAATTCTAAGCTTTTTCCAGAATGTTACGAGAAGTGTCCCCATGTTGAGATATTGTCTCGATGTTGGTCAGATTTTTTAAAGGTTCAAGTGACCTCAAGTTGAACCATCTGTATGTTGAGGTTTCCACCTTTTTGGGCCTCATTTTGTAACTTGAGGTGAAGACGAAAAATTATCAAGTTGTTCGAGACATACAGTATTCTTCGATTTCAGCCAAATACATTTTATTTTCAGAAGGGCTCCTCTACCACAGATATGAAGCATGAAAAATAGCTTCGCGAAACAAAAACGTCGAGAACTTCTGCTTTAAAGCATCATCAATTCCGCTGAAAATGTCGGGCTTTGTTCTATACAAGGGAACTATGACATTTTTCTCCCTCGATGCGTCAGCCAAGCTATTGTTGTGTGATACGCTTCTCTGACACTGAAACATGCGTATCAAAAATGTGTATGAAGTGATTCTGATCACGGAAGCATGAATACGAAGGCGATCCTTGATCATCAATCAGAAATGATAACTCGGCTGGAAGCATTGTTGGTTCTGATGCTGGATGTGAACTTTGCATTTGGTGTGACTGTGCAAAATGCTGTCCCTCGTTTATTTGTGTTCCCTAACTCAAATTTCCTAGAAATGCATGGTCTATCTCCTTCTGATGAGGCAGAGGGATATTCTTCCAAAATATTGTGTCCAAGAGCACTGTAATAAAAATATGAAAGAATCTGGACTGAGAACCAAGGTAATGTAAGAAAAAGTCCTTATTTTCTACTTCTGCAGAAAATACTGCCTGAAAATCTCGACCTTGATGTTTTTTTTGCATTCTTACAATAAAATTAACAATGAATGTTCTTGAATAACATAAGATTTACACTTCTGGTTACCATTTAAACAAAAATGTGCTCCTGTGTGTGCGCAATTAAAAATCCCAACTGTCCTGTGAGGAACTTCCTGCCACCTAAGGGTTAAAACGCATCTAACTTAAATTTTGCAGCTTTAACCTCACTTATTCAAATTCCTTGAGCAATAAATGTTTGAAAACTGGATCTAGAGAGTACGCACAATTTTATTTTAATAGCACTTGAGTCTTTAAAAAAATTGGCAGTTTCCTTCAGGTAGGACATCTAAAAAAAAAACTCTTTTCAACACAGGCCAGAAAATAATTTCAATGGATCATATGGGACACAAATCTGGTCATATTCTCCAACTGAAAACCAAATTTTTCTTCTTGCTTGAAATAGTCCAATCTTCCAACAGGACCACACAGAAAAAAACACTTGAATAAATGAATGAATGAAGAGAACACTGCATTTGCCGCTTTTCAGTGTTCACAAGGTTCAATCAAGATTTCCACATCCAAGCCTCCTCCC